AACGTGAAAGATCCTCCAAAACATTCATACTCGAGATTGTACGTCACATCAAAACGAAAATCAAGCACCTAATGCCCCATTTTCATGGAAACACTCCTCGTCACATTCCAATCGTCTTAACACATCCAACAGTCATATCATACTCATCATAAAGCCATTTCCACCGCTCATTTAGCCACAAATTTCACTCGTAGGGATATTACCGGACATATGAGTCCAAATGTACACGTTACAACTGAAGCTACCGACCTTAAGTTGCGGTCTAACCCTGGCCTCAAGTCCTCCAGACTGGCCCATCACCAAAATACAGAATACACATTTCAAACCTCGTTCATGGAATCACAAGCCAGCGATGCACAACTGATACTGAGCGCTCACATACGCACACAAATGCGTGGAAGGAATTCAACGAGCTATGTTTCAAACTGAATCAATTTCGCACGATAGAAAACAAGAAAGTGAAATTTTCCTAAGGGTTCGGCAGTCTCTCGAAGATAAGTACAGACGTCTCTGTACCGATCCGAAAGACTCTACTAAACCTGCTCATGTCTCGTGAGACCTATGTAACCTAGGCTCTGATACCAACTTGTCACGACCCAAAATCTCACTTGTCGTGATGACGCCTATCTCAATACTAGGCAAGCCGACAATCTCAATAAACTACCATATCTTGTAAGTTTGAAAATATAATATTTAAATTCAACAGAAGAAATCTCACAAATACATATATAAACACTCCCAAAACCCGATGTCATTGAGTACATGAACATCTAATATAAATACATAGTCTGACTGATAAAACACTGTCTAAAAGTATAGAACAATACAATAACTAAAAGAAAGAGAGACAAGGTCAGCGGACTCCGGGCAACTACCTTAATAGTCTCCAATTGATAGCACTCTTAGATCTAACAGTCGCCATATCCGAAAGCACCTGGATCTACACACGAGGTGCAGAGTGTAGTATGAGTACAACCAACTCAATAAGTAACAAGACTAACCTTTGGGCTAAAAGTAGTGACGAGCTCAGCAGGTATAGTCCAGTATATAAATAATAATACAGAAATGTAGGCATGCTTTCAAGTTCAACAGTTACTCTCAATACAAATAAAATAGATCAATTCTGAACATTATGAGGAATATGACATCGTTGTATCTACATGCCAATGCACATACTGTATGTGATGCACCTTAGTGAAAACTCCGTATACTCACGATCTAAAATACTCAATCGCCCAGTACTATATATGGCAAATCTAGCGTAGGGAAGATCTATTCCAAATATATATGTATATCCATCAACTGACAGTCAGTCACTCAGTACTGTATAAGGCCAATCCAACCTAGGGGAAGATCTATCCCCGAATATCAATGATTCAGACAAGATCCATGTCCAGGAAAAATCTACCCCTCAATATAAAATGCTTCGGACAAGATCCATGTCCAGAGAAGATCCATCCCTCAATATAAATGCTTCAGACAAGATCCATGTCCAGGGAAGATTCATCCCTCAATATAAATCAACCGCGCCCGCTAGGTGTGTGCAGACTCCAGAGGGGCTCCTTCAGCCCAAGTGCTATAAATCAAGCATGCTCACTAGGGGTGTGTGCAGACTCTGGAGGGGCTCCTTCAGCCAAAGCGCTATATAAAGCCGATATGGCCTACTGCGGCGTGCAGTCCGATCCCATAATAATAAAGCCTATAAGGCTTGCTGCATATGGCAACCCCGATCCATATAATAATAATATATATAAAGCCAATATGGCCTGCTGCGACGTGCAACTCGATCCCAAAAATATCCTCACAATTAGGCCCTAGGCCCCACTCAGTCCTCAATCTCTTCAGTCTCTTGGGTTCAAAATGTCATGAAAAATCAGCCCAAAAATGATAATATGATGTATCAATAAATAACAACAAAGACTAAAATATAATATGAAATGAATGAACATGGCTGAGTATGAAATTATAATTTAAAATAATTAATTCAATAGCAACACGACCCTATGGGTCCCAAAATATCAGCACATAGCCTAAACATGATCTTTAATATGAGTCTCAACTCAATTTCTGTAACACATGGAAAATGTTCAATTACAACATGATTCTTTAATTTTTACAACTTCACATAATTTATTCGAGTCATAATTTCAATGGTGCGCGTCTACACGCTCGTCAACTATCGTGCGTGTCACCTCCAAATAATTTATATAACACCAATTCGGAGATTCATACCCTCAGAACCAGAACCAAGTTTAGAAGTGTTACTTACCTCAAAGCGTGTAATTTCTCACTCTGTTATGCCCTTGCCTCGAGGATTGGTCTCCGAAAGCCTCGTATCTAGTCACAATTAATTTGATTCAGTCTACACAATTATATGAATTAATTACATATCAAAATACTAATTTTTCCCCACAAAATCCGAAATTACACTCCAAAAATCGTTCATGGGGACCACGTCTCGGAATCCGACGAAACTCACAAAATCCGACAAGCCATTTAATTACGCGTTCAATCATACTAATTTCACTCAAATCCGACTTCGAATCGGTATTCAAATTCCAAAAATTAGTTTTATGAAATTTCTACAATTTTTCCCAAAATTTCATCTCAAACTACTAATTGAATGATGAAAACAATGATATATTCATGTATGTTAACCAAATCCGAGTTAGAATCACTTACCCCGATGAATTTCTTGAAAATTCCACGTAAATCGCCACAAACCGAGCTCCCAAAGTCCAAAAATAAAATAATACCCTAACCATCGGCTATATAGTACCAAGTATGCTATCCCAATGTGCGGTCCGCACATTTCCAAGTTCTGCGACCGCAATCCAAATTATGCAGCCGCACTTCATAGTGACAACTTACCAGGCTTCAGTAAAATGCCCATAACTTTCTGTACAAATATCCAAATGATTAATGCTATACCTTTATGAAAACTGGATTCAAAGGGCTACAACCTTTGTTTTTGAATCATCTCTAAATACGTTGTATATTAAAAGATATAAGCCTCCGAAGTCGGACTATTGAACCTGCAGAACCCCTGAAGTGCGGCCGCACTCAAAATTGTACGGTCCGCACTTTTCCTCTGAAGTGCGGCCGCGAGAAGAATTGTGCGGTTCGCACTTTTCCAAAAGTTCCAGAACAACATCAGAGTGCCGAAATGCCCGGACTCGCTCAAAACCCACCCCAAAACTCACCGAGCCACTCGAAATCCCGTTCAAATATACCAACAAGTCCCGTAACATAATACGGACGTCCTCGTGGGTTTCAACTCACGTCAAAACAACGCTAAAACCACGAATCATACCCTAGTTCAAGCCTAATGAACTTTGAAACTTTCAATTTCTACAAACGATGCCGGAACCTATTAAATCACATCCGATTGACCTTAAATTTTGCACTCAAGTCACAAATGATATATCAGAGATATGAAAATTTTCAGAACTGGATTCCGACTCCGATATCAAAAAGTCAACTCCCCGGTCAAATTTCTAAACTTAAATTTCTATTTTAGCCATTTCAAGTCTAATTTAGCTACGGACTTCCAAATAATTTTTCGGACACGCTCCTAAGTCCAAAATCACCATACGGAGCTATTAGAACCATCAAAACTCCATTTCAGAGTCGTTTGCATAAAAAGTCAAATCAGTCCACTCTTTTCATTGAAGTTTCTAAACAATGATTGTTCTTTCAATTAAATCCCGAATCATCCGAAAATCAAAGCCGATAATTCACATAAGTCATAGTACACATTATGAAGCTGCTCAAGACTTCAAATTGTCGAAAGGAGCGCAGATGTTCAAAACGACAAGTCGGGTCGTTACAAGAAGACGGACTTCCCGTATGATATACTGCACCAAATTTATTACAAAAAATAAAACTCCATAAATAAATACTGGTCTAGAATTAAAAAACACAATCAAATACAACATGTAAAAAAACACACATAAAAATTATCATTAAACACAAGTATCATAAATAAAAAGAACTCCAGTATATTATAATAATCATCCAGTATAAAAAAACTGGGAAACAAGCCTTCAGAAGACAAACTTCCTGTATAATATACTGCACCAAATGTATTACAAAAATAAAACTCCATAATCAAATACTGGTCTAGAATTAAAAAATAAAATCAAATACAACATGTAAAAAAATCAAAAAAAAGAAAGAAAAAAAAATAGCTAAAAATTATTAGTAAAAACAAGTATTTTCAAAATAAAAGAACTCTACTATATAATAAAACTCATTCCGTATTAACAACAAGCCTTCATGGGTCAAATTTACAGAATAATATACTGGAACTAAATTTATTACAAAAAATCAAAATTTTAAATATGAAGTCCACCACATTGTTCTGAATTTCAAGTTTTAACAAGAACTTGAGCAACTTATCAAAACAAGTTACGCAACGACTACAACATAAAACTAATAACAGAGTGACAAATTTATCAGAAATAAGACGAACCACTGAACAGAGAAAAAAAATCATAGATGTTAAAATATCACAAATATTCAAACGCTAACAGTACGGAAATCAAACTTAAGACTAACAAAACAACAATTACAATGAAAATTAAAACACATTATTGTAAAAACAACACTTACCCAGACAAATTTGAAGAAATTTGGACCTAACCCAGACTAAATTCGAAGAAAGTGCTCTCACGAAAGCGAAATTCGTACACTACTCTAAAAAGAAAGCGAAAAGCGATTAAAAAATGAAAAGTAACGAAACATGATGTTAAAAAGGACAAGGACAAATATATTATTTACTAATATATTTTAAGTTAAAATGGCTAGAAATCGATTACATTAGCGATGGTGGCTATTTTTGGATAGCCAGCCGTAAAAATGGCTACGCCATGCCATTTTGACCAAAAAATGGTGGTAAAAAAAGGAACGTTTGCGTATATCACTTTTAAATGTATTGGGCCAGATATTGTGTCAAGTCTGGGCTGCCCCATTTAGCCCAGATCGCGATGGGTTTCGCTAAATATCGAAACAAAAACCCTAACCCTCTGTTCTCCATAGCCACAGACGGAGCGCAGAGCAGCCAGAGAGGGAGAGAGGAAGAGGGTCGCAGAGAAAATGGTGACCTACAAAGTAAGCTTTTAAACATGCTTATCTTTTTCCCATTTTGTTAGGGTTCAGTTGATTACTCTAATTGCGTGCGTTTTTTTTTTTTTGTTTGTTGTTCGGCAGTTTCATCAGTACCAGGTGGTGGGCAGAGCTCTGCCAACAGAGAACGATGAGCACCCAAAGATCTACCGCATGAAGCTTTGGGCAACCAATGAGGTTCGTGCCAAATCCAAGTTCTGGTGAGTATCACTACTCATTTTTTGACAATGAGTGCAGTCTTAGTATAAACATATTAGTACTAGATAGTTGAATGTGTGTATTGGAAAATGATTATTACTGAATTATAATGTGTTGGTTGATTTGGTGGAAAAAAAGGTACTACTTGAGAAAGTTGAAGAAGGTGAAGAAGAGTAATGGGCAGATGCTGGCTATTAATGAGGTATGATCTCGATATCTATGTCCTTATGGATGAATGAATAGGATTTTACTGCATTTCTGGTATTCCTTTATGTATTTGGATTTTTCGTGTCAAAGTTAGTACGCTAATGAATCATGATTCATTAATGAGGTATGATCTCGATATCTATGTCGTTATGGATGAATGAATAGGATTTTACTGCATTTCTGGTATTCCTCTATGTATTTGGATTTTTCGTGTCAAAGACTAATGAATCATGATTCATCAACTACGCCTCAGTGCCAAATTGCTCCTTTATTTGGGCTTAGGTTCGGCTTTTCTTTGAAAATATTACATAGGGAAGTTTGTCTGTTTTCCTCAAAATTGATTTTGTACGTGACCATGTATCTATTGCCTCTTTGTTGTACATCTTTTTAGTCAATTAAATAGGAAATGTAAATACTAGCTTACTGGATTTCGGAATCTGATGTTTGTTGAGGTGTATTCTACACAATTGACCTACCAATTAGAATGAGATGATGTCATTTGGATTTTGACCTTGTGAAGGCAGTTTTACTTCTACTACATGATATTGCAGGTATATGAGAGTTATGTTTGGAAAGCTTTGTGTTGCAAATGTGGCACATACTATTTCTTACATGCTGATTATGTTTTACCTATTAGAGAGAATTGTTGGTTTCGTGTTCTGTTGGCCATACTTTTTCAATACTGTCATTTTTTCTGTCAATGTATTTTATAACAGCAGTGTCTGGGCAGCATTTCTGTCAGTGCATATCACGAACTGTATTGTTGCTTCTGCTACTCAATGATTCCTACTCTTACGAGTTCCAACAGCACTAGCTTTACTGTCCACCACTCCGCCTAGAGGGATGCTTTGTTTTGAATTGTAAAGTTACAAATTTCTGAACAGTGCTTGGTGTTCTTAGAATCCAGAACATATTAAACTGTTGCTACTTATCTCCACACACACATATTCTGCTGCTAATTTGCATAATAAAAGAGGTGGATTTTGGTGATATTACTCTTTTCATTAATCTCTTGGAGATGAGGGTACAAGTTGCTTTGATGGGTGTAATGATGGAAGCAAGTCAGGGACAAGATGCGTAATAGAGGACGTGAGCTAGTATATCATATATTTATGGATATTGATGAGTCAAGGGGGAGAGGGCAGAGGATGTTATGAGGCTTCTGGAACTTCACTTTAGAAGTGGTATATGACTTGCTAGAATGGTTGACTGAAAAGTTATTTTTGTCTGTAGATCTTTGAGAAGAATCCAACTAAGATCAAGAACTACGGTATATGGCTGCGTTATCAGAGTAGAACTGGGTACCACAACATGTACAAGGAGTACCGGGATACCACTTTGAATGGAGCTGTGGAACAGATGTACACTGAGATGGCTTCACGTCACAGGGTCCGACATCACTGCATCCAAATCATCAAGACAGCCACTATTCCAGCTAAGCTGTGTAAGAGGGAGAGCACCAAGCAGTTCCATGACTCCAAAATCAAGTTCCCATTGGTGTTCAAGAAAGTCAGACCACCTAGTAGGAAACTCAAGACAACATACAAGGCTACCAGACCCAACTTGTTCATGTAACATGTTAGGTCATAAGTCAATTGAGAAGCAACTAAATTTATGCAAATTTTGTTGCACTAGTTGGCCAGTTTGGCATTCAACAAAACCTTTGTGTCTTTTCCTTTTATTATAATTCTAGCCTTCTAGTTATCAGACAGTCTCTTACTTCTGAGTCCTAAAAATTGTTTGCTTCGACAGTTTCAGTTAGAGTTCTATGTGTTCTCTCAAGGTTGGTTTTGTCATTTTGTTGTCATGATTTTGTTATAGTATTATGATGATGTCATCAACTTGATGCATAGAGTTGGTTAGTATGCCACCACTTTCCTGATGAACAGATTGTGGTATCGGTAAAGCTGATGCCAACAGTAGTATCATAGTAAGCAGGAAAAGATCTAATGTGACCATTATCATGGAATAAACAAAAGATTCTGTATCAGTGAAGTTGAAGCCATTGTTTTTCTGGGAAGTGTCATATTAGGCATCTTTTCCTGCTTTTTTGCCTTTAATTACTGTTGATACAGCATATATTGGTAAAATTGTGTTAGAATTTTCAATTTGCTGATGTATTTGGCTGGGTGCACTTGAAGTTTCTCTGGCCTATCTTAGATATTGATACTCAAGCAGTGCCATGAGATAATAGATCTCCATGAGGAATGCAAAACTGGAAAATGTTTCTTGGTCAGTGTAATGGTTATTCAGTGTTTCATTTAAGATCAACATGGACGTGATAATGAAGGATACACAGCTGACAAAGTTCATTTCAGCTTCTAATTTGATATAACACAATGTTTGAGATGGAACAGAAAAATCCTATGATATAAATCATTATCCAAAAGCACAAAAGCTTTCCTTTTGCCTATAGAGCAGAGTAGCTGTTAAAGTCCCTTTCTATAATGCCATCAGAAATTCTATCTTTAATCAAATGGATCGTTCCTTGCCTAAAACTAAGGGGGGAAACAGTAACAATTTCAGTTTTTGTTTCCTTAGAAACTATGACATTTAAAGAAATATCGAAATTCTTTAAGGTAACATTACGCAAAGGCTCCAACTTTCTCAAAGGAGTGCTCCATAACCCCTAAATTTTATATCTTTCCTGACCGAAAAAAGAAAAGAGAAAAGAAACTAAATTTGCACCCTAAAATTGCATTCACAAATTAATTTGACATAAATATTTCCATAAAAGAGTCTCCTCAACTAAATGAAAAAAGAGAATATGATTAAGGCACATACCTAAAAGAGGGATCCCACAACTTCATTAAGCGGAAAAGGTGGAGGTTAGCTTCATTATTTTCTACACATGCTCATTGACGTGCATTTATTGATTCCTACTGTATTAGAATAAGACCTATTTTGTTAATGATGTTTAAATGATTCTATTGCCCTTCCTTTTACCATTTCTAAACTGATGGTATAAGCTCTTCCTACACACAAGACTTTTCTCATTTTTCGCTTGTGATATTTTACTGGATTTGTTTTTGTTGTTGTTCTTGATGATGTTAGATGATTCTATTAACATTTTTGCTAGCTTTAATAGTATGATATTGGCTAATTTATTTTGTTATTTCCAAAATATCATTCTAAATGAAACAACACATCCTCTATAGCAAAGGAAAAGTATGTAACTTTTACAATGTTTACTCCAATCAACTACTAATAGCATATAATTAGAAAAAAAAATAAAACACATATTTGTATTACCGGTCTCTTACTTGTTTATGTGTAGGGTACAACTCTTTATCTTTCATACTAAATATAGTCATTGTTAATCAATTGGGAGTCCACTTTGTTTATGATAGTTTAGAACTGGATTCCAAGAGCATATTCTCAAAAAACAAACTATAGGTAGCTGAGTTTGTATTTGATATAATATTCTGACCCTTACCAATAAATTGTTTATCTCCTTCTCTTTGTGTTCATTGACGACTATTCCGTGATTCTTAAGCAGAGAAGAAAAAAAGATTTAAAAAGAAGAGCAAAAATGGCGCCGGTGCCGGAGGAAACAACGGCGATAGATTACGTGATGGAGGCAGCTTCTGGTGCACACTTTTCCGGTCTCCGATTTGATGGCCTTCTCACTTCTGGCTCAGCTTCTCCACGCGCTTCTCCTACTCACACTCCCACGCACTTCTCCACCACTACCCCCCTTGATTCCACTACCCCTAAACAGCCTTTCGTCATCGGTAATTCTTCAAATTCTCAATTAATTGTCGATTTTTTTGTTTTGTTTTCTTCAGTGTGAACTAAATACGTCTCAATTTTAGACTAGTTGAGAATTGGCTTTAAGAACTTTTAGTATCTATGTTGCTGTATTACTTTAGGCCCGTTTCATTTAAAGAAATTTTGGGTGGTTATATGAATCGTGTAATATTCATTTGGCTCTGATCACGTTTCATTCCATCAATTTAGTGTCTTGCTGACAATTTTACTAGATTAAAAATGGGTTTGAGTTAATAGGAATGGACAAATATGATTTTATATGACTGACCACTATTAGTTTAGGATTGAGGCGTAGTCGATTGATTGATTGTTTTGAATGTAATGTTGTTTTTTTCAAATGATTCTTGAGCTTTTGCTGTGTATCCAATTATTTCAAGAATTCAGTGGGAGATTTCACTACTTGAAATGGGTCCAGAAAAAGCAGAAAAGATATAGAGAATTCATACAAAAAAATTAATTATTGTTTTTACTTTTTTGGGTTTATTCATGGAGATTCTGTTATAACAATTTGACCTAATATTTGTTCTATAATTCTCTGGGGTTTTTTGAGCAGGGGTTTCTGGAGGTACAGCATCAGGTAAGACAACAGTGTGTGACATGATCATCCAACAACTACACGATCATCGTGTCGTGCTTGTTAATCAGGTTTGTTTCGTGTTCTTGTCGTTGCTTACTTATTGATTGCTGACATGTTTTGATAGTTGTCAAAGCCACGGAAAGTATATCTGGTGTACCTGAATTTAGTTTCTGATTGTTTGGATTCAAGTAAGGATGCATACACATCCTCTTCATCATGGGGGATTTCTCAGAGAAGTTTATTTGATTGAAATGTTAAATTTTTTTGTGACGAAATTTGATGATTATGCAGGATTCTTTCTACCGCGGTTTGACGCCTGAAGAAATGAAACGTGTCCATGAGTATAATTTTGATCATCCAGGTAATGCGATCTCCACAGATGTAACTGTTTAGCTGGTGAAGATCCGGAAATTAGTGCTCTTGTTCTTCTCTGGACTAGGTTGAACTTTCAGTTAACCAACCTCTGGCACTATTATGTGCAGGAGCATGAGTTCTAACTTCGGAATAATATAATGATTTACTTTCAGATGCTTTTGACACTGAGCAGCTCTTAGAGTGCGTTGAAAAGTTAAAATCTGGGCTGTCAGTCCAAGTCCCAATATATGACTTTAAAACCCATCAAAGATGTTCAGACAGCTTCCGCCAGGTATATATTTGTACCATGTTACTGTTACATTGTTCTGTTTCCCTCCTTTTATCTCTTTTCACGAGAACATTTCATACCGACAACCGTGCTCCACATTTAAGTTCGTTGGAAAGCATTTAGTAGTTTGAAATTTGTCGACTCACATGCATGTTCTTCGGTTTGCTGATTTTACTTGGATCTCGGTTCATATTGCTTTTTTATTTCTTCGATAAGGATCACAGTTCTAATTGCTTCAAAGGATCATTTAAGTCCTTTAAGCTTATTGCCTTATTCGCAGTCTCTGTAGGAGTAATGAGATTTTCCCTGTTGGTTTGTATCAGCTTGTTTATGCTGCACAGTTCTTTCTTTTTACCCGTGACCCACCAATTGTGTTTCTCATTGGTCTATAAGATCCGGGACAAAGTGGGAGTAGCCTCCGTGGAGGACAAGATGCGGGAGTCGAGGCTGAGATGGTTCGGACATGTTAAGAGGAGAAGCATTGAAGCTCCCGTTAGGAGGTGTGAGAGGTTGGCCATGGCGAGTTTGAGAAGAGGTCGAGGTAGGCCTAAGAAGTGTTGGGAAGAGGTGATTAGGCAGGACATGGTGTTGCTTCAGCTCACTGAGAACATGACCCCTTGATAGGAGGGTGTGGAGGTCGAGGATTAGGGTAGAAGGTTAGTAGGTAGTTGGGAGTTTCTCCTCCTCCTCCTCCTCCTTATGCTCCTGCTTCTCCTTATGCTCCTTCTTCTTCTTCTCCTCCTTCTCCTTCTGCTCCTTCTCCTTCTTCTCCTTATGCTCCTTCTCCTTCTCCTTATGCTGCTTCTCCTTATGCTTCTTCTCCTTCTTCTCCTCCTTCTCCTCCTTCTTCTCCTTCTTCTCCTTCTTCTTCTTTCCAAGCCGAGGATCTATTGGAAACAACCTCTCTACCTTCATTAGGTAGGGGTAAGGTCTTCGTACAGACTACCCTCCCCAGACCCCACCTGTTGGGAATATACTGTTGTTGTTGTTGTATTGGTCTATAAGATGTTGTGCTTCTGTTTCTCTTATGAAGAGAAATCCAATAGAAATTAATGCATACCGCTTTCTACTTGAGTTTCTTTCGTGTTTGTTTGTTCTTTTCTTAGCAACTTAACAAATCTCTAGCATGAAAATTCTGCCAGGTGAATGCATCTGATGTTATCATCTTGGAGGGTATTCTTGTTTTCCATGACTCGCGTGTCCGCAATCTGATGAATATGAAGATTTTTGTTGATACAGGTTCCACTTCTTTAAATAATTTAGCCGCACCGTAACTTACTGCGGTGCATCTTCTGTACCAGCTTATCATCTTCACCCATGTTGTTGTTGTCATCATATTTCTTTTACTTTGCACACATGTTCCATCAAGCTTATAATAAGCTTCAATTGCATGCCAATTCATAAAGTGTTTTAACTTTTGAGCTTTTACCAACAGTGCAATCGAATATGATAGGCATTTATTTTCATTTTTTAACTTATCAACACTTTAACTCCCTGGAAAGATATTCTTCTTATGGCTGATTTCTGGATTTTAGCAAAGAAGAGTTGACTATGTTATTTTCTCAATGTAAGAATTAACTTCATCATTGTTATTTGCATCTTCTTGATGCCATTAATGAAATCACTTCATTAAAAAAAAAAAAAAAAAATTCATGGTTTTCAAGCATCGATTGGAGAAATAATCATCTATAAAAGGTTTACTTTAATAACACTTTATCATGGCTAGAATGAAACTCCGGATCTCCATCTTGTGATGCTGTCGTGGTTTCAAAATCATTATGTTTCACCCTGACTGAAATGATATTCATTAATTTATAGATGTGTAGTGTGTATTCCACAGCCATATGTGAGCAACAGAATCTTTCACTAGGGAATTAGAAGCACTAACCAAGTTGTGGGAAACTTTACTTGTGCATGTATGTACGCTCCAAGAAAATGTTCCTATTACACGTATTATCAACCTGCACGGGGGAGCTAGAAGTAAATAAAAAGTTGATTAGACCATATCCCTATAATGTTTAGT